GATTGCTGGAGTTGATAATGGGCCATACTTGTATACAGCACATTAGAATTTCCTGTAAACGCCATACGTGCACTCAACTTTGCTTAATCGTCTACACTGTTTTTTTTACTGATTCTGACACAATCTGACTGCAAGCTCTGCAGTACCAGGGGTTGCATTTTGGGACTCTGTTTTGCATGCACTGCCCATACCTGGCTAACGTGTACATTAACCTTATGTTTGGTGTCTATTTGCAAGCACATGCATAGAAATCACTAAGAACAGGCAGAACGTGGAATTTTAACATATTAATTTTTGTATCTCTGTTCTTAATTACGTGCACTCATGCATCGTAAAGATCCCCCCAACAAGAATTATATAGGTGATTCATGAGAATTCTCTCATTTTTGCTCAGGAATGTTCAATCTGCAGCAAAACGTTCAATTTCAAGTGCGATGGCCTTATGCATTGCAAGCTGCCACATGTGTGTGTCTATGTTGGAGAGGGCCTTTTGCACCCCAGCATTCATGCATGCCAAACTTTCAAAAACTCATATAATAGAATTGCATGTGACAGTTCACCGGTATGGTGTCAGCTCCCACTTGATCTAAATGTTCTATGTGTTTCTGAGCCCACATGGGCACAATCTAGAAGAAAGGTGCAGACGTCCCAGGCAATGTGGGTACCATATCCTAGGAGGTATTTGTCCCATCTGAGTGTGCGATGTCTACCTCCCTTTCCTAATAAATTGATCAAGCAACCTCCTCCTTTCACTCTCCCCCCTTTCCCCTCCCTAGACTCTCTTGCCAGTTTGGTTGCATTTCCATTTTACAACCACTCAGTTGTAATACTGTTATAAACATATGTTTGCCATTAGCTCTCCCCTGTCTGTCCTGTCCAGGTTCTACCTCCCCACCATCTCCTTGCCCCTCCAACTTTTTTTTTCTCTTAAAACTGCACATATTCCCATCCAGAATCTCAGGCTACCCACTCCATCCCCTGCCATGGAATACCATTCAACGGTTTGCAATAAAATAATAAACTGCGTTGCCTCAGACCGATGCACCAAAGCAAGACACCTGGCCACTGCCCACAAGAGCCATACTGATCAAGGTCAGGGCATGCAAGATTTAAAAAATAGAATGATAATTGCATTTCATCTGAGCTGCTGAAGTCGTGGGTCAGGTTTAACTTTTTCTTTTTCGCCTAATTAAATGCAGACAGACTGGGTGTCATACTACAAGGGAGTTAAAATGAATGGGCGCATGTGTGGGGCATTGCATAGCTGCTAACATTAAAAAAAAAAAAAAAAGATTCAAAGCCTATTAGATAGCAGTGCACAGAAGCCAGTTACCCCAAATAATCTCCTGATGGACCCCGGACAATTCTTTCCTATATTTAGATTTTTTTTTTTAACTACACCTTTCAAATGCAAAAAAGCAAAGAGCAGTTGCAACGTATTAAAAATGGACTGCGATGTTCTAAGAATCAAGGACTGTGCTGTCCTATTGGACCCTAGGCAATCCTATCTTCTATTTGCATGTTGATCTATATGCCTCCGAACTGGAGAAAAGCTGAGAGCAAAATGTATCTCTTTAAGGATAAACTGTAACGTTTTTAAGAAGCAAGCAAGTTAATCCCTGTGCTAAATTCTAAGGACAACGCTGCTACAAACTGGAAATCACAGCTGGCAGCTAACAAAAGTGCAGCAGAACTGTCTTCACTTTGGGTGCTGTCAAAAAAAAAAAAGAAGGCAGCACATGTGTTCAGTAACTTTTCCTCGCTTTCCCAAATCTCTTCAGATTGTTCCCCCCCTTCTCTCCAAAACTTTTCCAGCTGTCCCAGCTCTTACAACACCCCCCCACAGACACAAACTCATACACCCCAAGTGATCGGTGACCCCCTGAGTGCAGACTTACGTGCGATGATCTCCCTTTGTAACAAGTGTTGCGGGTTCCCTTGCTTGCGACGGGACATTGCCTTGGCATTTACAGTGGCATCGCCCGGAGATCTGCACGCTGCTCCTTCCTCTCCCACCTTCCTCCTACTCGTCCTCGGCTCTCTCTCCCTCTTCTTCCTCCTCCTTCTTCAGAATGCAAAACAAGGAAGAAAAAATAAAATAAAAAAAGAAATGCAAAAATCAACACAAAAAAAAAAGGAGCGAGAGAGAGAGAGACCTGGGTGCCCCCCTTTTGCTCAACTAGGGCAGCACTTCGTCAGTGTGGTCTCCAATCTTCGCAACTTAAGAACTGGCTGTGCCCACTCCACTTAAGTCCACGGTGCCCATCAAGGCAATTAAAAAAAAAATAAAAATAAAAAATAAAAATAAAATGAATGTTTAAAAAAAAAAAGAGTGCCCAAAAAAAAATAAAATGCCCAAAAATATAGAGAGGGGGAGCTGACCCTTTTTTCTGGTTGCAGGGTTGCCAAAGAGTGTCTTCTGCTTGCAGTGAAGCCTGGCACTGCCCTGCAAATTCACTGTCCAGCACTTTGCACTGCTCCACTTGGCTGGCACTAAGGGGGGGGGAGGAAGGAGGACTATTTAATGGTGAAGATGGCGGAGTCCTGGTTCTCTGGGAGCTCTCTGTCTCTCTATGGCTGGGTCTGCCTCTGTACAATGGGATAAAATTCAAGTTCAAGTACGGACGTGACGTTTAATCTGCACCAGAGACAAAAAGACCGAGAGACTAGGAGCACTGGGGGCGACTAGTGGTGGCTTTTTAACATTGTACCCTGGAACACAACACGACAGAGACTACTAGCACATGCCTCTAAGCTCTTTTGTACATCTCTCCAGCTCCTGCAGCCTACACTGACACTTCCCCACATTGCAGGGGACAGTCCCAGGTTTTGGAAAGGCAGACTTTTTTGGGGGGCTGGCTGACCAGCTGTGCTATAAAAATTCCTCTTTACTTTTCTTTTTTTTTTTTAATCATTTATACATTATTACATATTCGTCGTCTCTGGGGTAGAGAGGCACGCTCGTTAGAAGCATCGGAACGCACGAAGAGTGATCGACAGCCCAAGTTAGAGCAACCTTTCCGACTGGGAACGTAGGGTCTTCAAACGTAGCGGAGTGCAGTGAAAGAGACCGGTCGCATTGCGCCTCGCGTACACGGGCGTTCACGTGCGTTGGGTCGTCGAGCGTTTCGGACAGGGTTGTGGGAATTTGAAGTCGGATCTGATGGGGTGCTGGGCGCTGATGTTGACTCTTGCCCTACGTGGCAGTGCTTTTTGCTTTTTAGGACTCCATGGCAGTCAACGGGAATTCAGCTCTGGTTGGTCCCGATGTGGTCCCAAAACTGACCTCTAGCCGACGTCGGGGGCAAGCCGCTATTTTCGACTTATGAGCCTTTACCCCGAGTGCACGTGCCCCAAGGAAAAAAATAAAAATTTGTGATTGGTTGCTGTGGGTTTTACTAAAATTTGCAAACGGGCTTATTCAGTAAGACTGATGGGCCCGCCATGATAATGTGGTGGGTGAGAACACCGGTGCAGCAGTATATTATTTTAACAAGTTTACAGCTAAGCCAAAAACGTGTATCTTTATTTTGGGGGGTGGGAGGGTTGGGATGATGAGGAATTTGGGGTTCCCCACTCTCCAAGTCCTCCCAAGGAAGCATTACACCCTGTGTGAAGGAAGCATCGCTGGACCCAGGTGACAACCTCCGAATTGTCACAACTGACAATTTATTTTATGAATTATTAGTTATTACGCAAATGCAAAATGACAATCAATCTGATGTGAAATTGATACCCAGCCCGGACCTCTCCATCCATCTTTTTCCAGGTTCCAAAAATGTGCAAATCTTCTACTCTCTTTATTATGTTTTTTTTTACTGAAGACCCCAAGCAAGAAGCGTGCGGGGTTAAAAATTGAAAGCCCCACATTATGCGCATAGTTTTTTTTTTTATCACCGCTTAATTTCCACAACTTAGGCAGCTGGCACTTCATTGCAACGTAGGGTAGCAAATATTGTTCCGGCTAGAAATCCTTCTTCGTATTAATATTTGTTTTAGCTCATTGATCACCTGAATCTGAGGACTCTTCGTGGGAAATTCTGTCCTTGCCCTTTCTGAATGAAGAATTAAAAAAAACAGGCAATTTAACCATTCCGGGGAGTGGTGGTGGGGGGTGTCAGGGGGGGGGGGTATTTTTTTAAATACCAGTTAATTGTGTACTTCTCCCATACCTATAGAGATGTTGCAATGTCAGGAATTGAATTCAAATCGGCGAAAGCTATGAATATGTATAAAATTATGTTAATCTTTAGGGTAAAACATTTCAATGGCATTGTCTCATACTACATCATCGATGGAATTTGTAATAATTAAATAGCGCAGACAATAAGCCACTGGCATTCCCCGTTTTGAAGGACACCTATTCATTCTGATCCTAGAGGAGGTGAAAAGTGTAAAAAAAATAGGGATGAAGCCTGTTTAAACTGGAGGAGGTAAAAAAAACACACACACATCACGGGAGACAGTAGCAGGCGCTTGCAATATTGTTGTCTACATATACCGAGGCATTTATTTTTATCATTACAGCATCCATGCATAATCACTGCAAGTGCAGTCACACATGATGGAGTAGAAAGTAGAAGTGGGAATGTTGTTCTCTGAGAAAGCTGCATTGCTTCACCACATTCTAAATAGATGATCAAAACAGCAGTTAGTTCGCCTTTACCATCGGACGGACATTTTATTTTGTAAATCCCTGCGCTTAAGTTCGACAATAGATTTGGATGCATATGTTTTTACTTTGGTGATGACCCAAAAGAGACCTAAAAAACAAAAAAAATTCATTATTTATCAAAAAAAAACCTCAAGTTTTTTTTTCACTTCTGCAAACACAGCATTTTTTTATTTTTTTCGAGCAG